AAAAGTAAAAAAAAAAATCATAGAATTTTATCATATACGTAAAAATGAAAAGCAATTTTAGGATGAAATGTGACCAAAAATAGAAAAAAGAGCCTTGAAACATATACCAATAACAAAATATGATATTTCATTTTGGTTGCCAAGGTTTTTACACCACAGAGAGCCTTCAAAGTAACACTCTGTATGTTTAAATCAAATCCTATCTTTAAAAAAACACATTTTCAAATAACTAATGATCATTTTTTAAACATGTTGGTGTGCTTCAAGTTTTCCCATTTGAAAAAAATTCAGATAAGATTCTTTAAATAGAGCGTTGCTATGGAAATAAGCAGAAAATATATGCTTAAAAATCTGAAAAAATATTTTCTTTCCTTGGATACATACCCTTAAATGTAGATTCCCAAAACTTTTATGATTGATAATAATTATCAGCTAACTTGATTTTTAATTTTGACTATCATCCAATCTCTCAGTGGATGCAAGAAGTTGGCACACAGGGTTTAATATTGATATAAAGTTTACAAAATCGAACATTTTCCCTTCTGGTAACCATAGCAACAGTGTTGTTTTCTTCATCAAATTTTATCAAAATATGATATTCAACTTCACTTCTAACAAATAAGTACTATTCGAGCTGAGTCCTTTAATTGGTTTTTGATTAAATGGCAATTTAATTCTTAATGCAGCGAAAAATTATTCACTTTTAAGCACCGGTACTTTGTTTCCATGGTAACACAGCAAAGTAGCAATTATACCAAATTTTTCTTATGAATTTGGTGTTGCAAGGTCCTAAGGATGCATATTTACCAGTCTTGAATTTTCATGTTTTCCTCAATACGGTAGCATTAACTCTAATCTTAGTTACTGGTTTTGCATGGTTACACTGTGTTACCATGGCAACCATAAAAGTTATTTATAGAATTATATTACTTATAATTATATACTTAAGGTCAAACATTTTCATTGTTTTTCTTAAGTCGTTGATTGAGTTTGAGCATGTAACACCTACCATTAGTGAATTCGGAGTGTTTTTCAGCATATTTCAGCATTTAAAATGTATTCCAAATGTACTCTTGGTTACCACTTACTTAGAGATATATTCTAAGCAGTTTCTTTACAGTATAAGTGACATCAAGGTGTCATGGTTTTGTGAGAATGGTTTGTTTGCTTTTTCTAGTTTTTATTAAGCCACAGTCAAGATTTAAAGTGGCTGAAAATCTCGATTTTTCAAACTTTTCCGGCTGTTGCCATAGCAACCGAAACACATAGCAACGAAATTTTGTTTCATATTTGTTTCTAGTGTCAAGTACTAAGCGAAGTTTCATCGAAATCTGTGACCATGCGTGGCAACGAAGTTTAAGTGGTTACAGAGAATGACTATTAATTGTCGTCTTAAAAATCAAAAATGTTAATTGGTCATTAATCTAAAAGCAAGAAACAAATATAGTATACATTAAAATGGTATAGATTGAGAAAGAAAAAGGCAAATACTGAATGACAATTTTATGATGTGTATTATAAGTTGTACTCACAATCCCTTTAATGATCATAATCTACCTGTAAACTTCATATCCTTTGTGTTATTTGTAGACATCAAATTAATTGATCCTAGGAAACGTTTACCTTTACTTGATCTTTGTACACGTTGCAAACAATAGACACGCGCGCTGCGTTCCAATGCAGACGACCGTGCTGATTTTCAGCTTGAGATAAACACGTATAAATCTAAGTACTGAAAGTACTGGGAAGCGCAAACTTGTCCTTCATCAACATTATTGACACCCACTTGAAAATTGGGATATACCGTAAATCTAGAAATTTTTACGTCGATTTTATTTTGCGAATTCAGGTCAAAATGGTGTCAATAAATTTTTACGTTTCAAAATTTTGCGAATTACCACTCTTTATTTACATTCTCTTATTAGTAATTTATTTTTAAAGAAAAATATTTTTGCGAATGCAATTAACTCGCAAATTTACTTAAAATTTATCTACAGCAAAAAAATACAGATTTAAGGTATTAATTTGGGTCTGTCCGTTCGTGTCTAGTTGGTGTCAATGTTAAATGTAATCACGTGTGCAGCTGGTGCCTTTGTTAACGTCATTTCATTAGAAACGTGTTCGCTATAAGTGGATCTTAGTGTTTATGGATTTTTTTTAGATCTATACTTTTAAAGTTTTATAAAGATTGTCACTTTATATGCTAATTTATCTCTTCCTTTTATTTGTTTAATAAGGATATGGAAATAACGAACAGTATTCAATCTCAACGTCCATTAAACAAATATACAAAACAAGAGCAGAGCAAACACGGACCTCCGAAACATCAGAGGTGGGATCAGGAGCCATGGAGGAGTGAGCATCCACTGCTGACCGGTCACATCCGCCGTGTGCTCATTGTCATAATCAGGAAATAACGGAAAAAATCCGTTGTCAATTCAGTGTATAAATAATGGACTAACAATTGGTATGAAAAACGTCAGTCAGCATTTCATTCAATGATAAATTGTATTTGCTGACAAGGTCATTGTATCGACCATAGAATTTACGAAATGATGACTTTAAATGAGACTGTTGATATTCTTGTTTCATCAACTTACTTGTCAATAATTTACCTCGTTTAAGAAATTGTTCATACGTAGAGCATGCTCTTGCGTATCGAATCAACTGAGATATAAATACTCCGTATGCAGGTGATGAAGGTATGTTGCTGCATAAGTAAGGGAAGTTGACGATAGAAAAGTTAAAGTCATCACGTTTATCATATAGCTTGGTTGTTAGATTACCATTTGTGTCTTTTTCAAGTAAAATATCCAAGTATGAAGCAGTTGTGTTGGACTCTGTGGTATCTTTTATCTCAAGCTCACCAGGATATATCGTGTCGACGTAGGAATGGAAATTATCATTATTAATTGACAATACGTCGTCGATATATCTAAATGTCGAGTTGAAATCATAACTGACATTAATTATTTACATTAATTATCTTAAGGAATGACTCTTATTTTTGGTCAATTCATTCGATAAGTAATCTAAAAGCGGATTTTTAAAAAAGCGTAAACTGACCCAAACCAGGCTATAATGCTCGAATAATGTGGCCAATAAAAAATTCCTTATTATTTAATTTTGAAATGGAACATGTAATTTAACAACTGTGGATGAAAATTTGTCTTTTTTTTATAAGTTCAAATTTGCTGCTAAATAATATAACCGTAGTGATAGGAAGCTAGTGGGGGTAATAATTAATACATAGACCTAGCAACCACGATGCTGTTTACATTAAGTAAGATCGAGCTAATGTTTGGAGTTATAGTTTTGAGCAGTGAGGGAAGTTAATCCTTCCAACGGAAGGAACGGAATGCATTTAATCAAATGAACACGTTTACTTCACGTACCAGATTACACAAAGCGTTCCCACTCCGTATAAATCCTTTCAGAGTGATTTTTTGTTAATGAGTATGGAATTTCGACTTTAACGATGTAATAAGCATGACGATGCTCTAAAAAGTCTAAATGTCAATTTCAAACATTAGCGATCTAAAATTTGAAAGAAATCAACCTAAAATTTTACAATTGTTTTAAGGGAAGAGAAGTCAATGACCCTGATAATGAGCTGATAGCCATCAGTGAATGACCAAATGTAACTCATCATGAGCAGGGTACTTTAAGGTGTGCAAGAAATAAATTTGAATCAACAGTTTGTGAACCTGACTCAGAGTATAAATGAAAATAATAAAACGAAACGGAAAAGGTATGGTTAATTTATTCCAAAAACTAATCAAGATTTTAAATCTTAGAGAACATTAGATTTGTTGTTCAGTGTCTTAATCTTCTTTTTCATTACTAAAAAAGAAATCACAAAAAAGTAATTATATTGCTAATTCATTAATTTAGCTTCAAAGCTGAGAATAACAAAAATAAACTAATTGTGTAAATGGACCATAGATAAGTAATAAAATGTTAGGTCATTTGAACTTTCAAATTACGAAATACAAAGCTTCATTCTATAAGCTATAGCATGTTTTTAATGTAGAGAAAGTCCGTGAAAGACAAGTTATTCCAATTTCTTGACAGGAAGAAAAGTTATAATCCAGAAGCATCGATATTTAATGTGTAGCCATTCATTTCATTTTGCAATCTATAAAGCAATGGAGATATAATAATTTTTTTAAAAAAAAAAGTTTTGCAAATTGTTGTTTTTTCCATTCACAGAGTTAAGTACATTTCTGTAAAAGGATATGGAGATGATTCCAGTTTTTAAAATTTAACTGAAGATTACTAATAGATTAATTATAGGTTACTTATAGGCGACTGTGTGTAAGAAAATTACTTATAAGCGATTGTATGTCAGAAGATAACTTATAGGTGATTGTATGTCAGATTTACAGCCTACCTACTGATACAAAATTTACCCTGAGACAGTTGAGAGTAAACACACAGTATTTTACAGAAAACTTTATGTTAACTTTCCATTTAATACTAGATCTTCTCCTCCCATTTTTGATCTGCCCGCATTTATTGTAATTTTAAACAGAACAACGCCTACTAACATTATTACTTTCAATATAAGCACCGCCTAAACACGCTATTACCTTTAACATTGCCACCGTTTACACACGTGATTACCTATAAATTATAACACGTGATTTACAATTCCTGTTTCTTTAAAAGAAGCATATTTTTTTAACGGTTCAAATTAAAAAAAAGGTTAATGAAGATTCAAAATAATCTTGTACTTTGTTATAAGCGTGTTTACCTGCATTTATTTAAAAAAAAATGACAAAAGCAATATATACAACGGGAATTAATGGTAATAAAAATAGTCAATAATTCATTATATCTCATACAAAATCCCAATAAAAAGAAAACCTAAACAGGTTATCCCCAACCATCATTTCAATAAAACATAAAAAAGTTTAAACAAATGAAGAAATTTACATTACAATGCAAACATAAAATACATTGTAGTTTAAATTAATGAAGAAATTCACTTTACAATAAAACATAAAATAGTTAAAATCAATGAAGAAATTCACATTACAATGAAACATAAAATATCTTAAATCAATGAAGAAATTTACATTACAATAAAACATAAAATAGTTAAAATCAATGAAGAAATTTACATAACAATAAAACATAAAAATATTTTAAATCAATGAAGAAATTTACATTACAATGTAAAGGTTACAAGACTTTTTTTTCAATTGACAGACGCTATACTAACATAACTTAGTACACATCTCTAAATCCTTATATTCTCCATCAAAATGATATGATTTTAACTATATTATCTTTGTCTCAAAGAATAAAAATTCTTTTAAGCGATTCAACATTAAAAAGGGTTTCCATCAATTCAGTATTTAGACTCGATGTCTTGGGTCAAGAACAGAGGACAAAGCGATCTACGTAACACCAGGTATAAATTATATTGCCAAAATTGTTTGGCTAATTTTATCTTCATCTGATATCCCATCCCTGCTATTTTACAGACTCTGGTGGTAAGTTTTTATGTATGTTATCTGCTCCTCATATAAACTATGAAATTTGTCTCTTATATACACGAAGAGAGATAGAGTTCATAGAGGAAACATGGGGGGGGGGACCAGTTATAAGAACATCACTGTTCTTCATTGATTTCCACTTAACCTTTATGAAAGAAGTTTTGTAATTATATAGACATGTATATATCTGTATTTCTTTCATAAAAGACACGACTAAATCACGATTCATAATCATGGTTTCTTCAAATAAATGAATCATATGTTGGTATTTGGCATCTAATTAGTGTGGTCGTTTGGTGCAAAAGTAGCTACATACATCATAATAGCAATTCAGTCAATCAATATGTGGAAACTTTTCACATAATTTGACAAAGCATTGACTTAAATTTACAGAACATGTCTTTTTCTTCAATTTTCTATCTTCTTATGGGTAAGGATGCATCATTTGAACACGCATCGAATTTTATAAGGAAGATAGCTAAATATCTCCAATTGACGCTGTACCATCATGATTCCTTATTATCTAGTATCAACAATGAATCTGAAAAAAAAATAATTGTCCAGATACACATCTACAGTTTACCGGAATGATAGTCTTGATTTCAATTTCTCTATCCATGATCTTCCCCATTTAATTCCCAAAAGCTTTTTGATTTCATCATTGCCTCCCAAAGCAGCGTAATGCAACACTGTGTTGCTAGATTTGTCCCTGACGTCTAACAAATGGGGATAATTCTCAACTAAGAACTCACATATTTTAAATCTCCGATAAAGACAAGCTATATGAAGAATACTTTCACCTATATTAGACAATGCATTCAAATCCAATCCTTTATTTATTAGAAAAGACACAATTTCTACATTTCCTCCATAACAAGCAGAATTGAGACAAGCTATATGAAGAATACTTGCACCTTCATGGAACAATGCATTCATATCAAACCTTTATTTATTAGAAAAGAAAGAATTTCTACACTTCCTCCATAACAAGCAGAATCTAACGCTGTCCATCCTCTATTGTCCCTTATCTTCAGTAAATCTGGAAAATGATTGACCAAATACTCACATATCTCCATTTTACCAGAACGACAACATTGATGTAAAATTGTTTCCCCGTCTCTTTGTTGGGCATTAATGTCAATCTTTTTCTCAATCAACAGTTTTACTATTTGAATATTGCCTCCCCAGGCTGCATCGTGCAACACTGTATTACTAGATTTGTCTTTGACGTCTAATAGATGTGGATAATTCTCAACTAAGTATGCACAAATTTCAAACTTACCATTGAGACAAGCTCTATGCAAGATAGTTTTACCATCATTTGACAAAGCATTGAAATCCATCCCCTTTTCTATAAGAAAAGAAACAATTTCTACACTTCCTCCCCAGCAAGCTGAATGTAACGCTGTCCATCCATTATTGTCCCTTTTCTCCAATAAGTCTGGAAAATGATTGACCAAATACTCACACATCTCTTTTTTACCAGAACGACAGCATTGACGTAAAATTGTTTCACCACCTCCCTGTAGGGCATTAATGTCCATCTTTTTTTCAATCAATAGTTTTACTATTTGAACATTGCCTCCCCAGGCTGCGTCATGCAACACTGTGTAACTAGATTTGTCTTTGACGTCTAATAGATGGGGATAATTCTCAACTAAGTACTCACAAACTTCAAACTTCCCACAGAGACAGGCTCTATGAAGAATACTTTTACCGTTATTTGACAAGGTTTTAATGTCCATTCCCTTTTCCATAAGAAAAGAAACAATTTCAACACTTCCTCCACTACAAGCTGAATGTATGGCTGTCCATCCGTCATTGTCCCTTATCTCCAATAACCCTGAGAAAAGTTTGATCAAATACTCACACACCTCCATTTTTCCAGAACGACAGCACAGATGTAAAATTGTTTCACCACCTCCCTGTAGGGCATTGATGTCCATCTTTTTCTCAATCAGTAGTTTTACTATTTGAACACTACCTCCCCAGGCTGCATCGTGCAACACTGAGTTACTAAATTTGTCTTTGACGTCTAATAGATGGGGATAATTCTCAACTAAGTATTCACAAACTTCAAACTTCCCTTTGAGACATGCTCTATGCAAGATAGTTTCACCATCTTTCGACAAGGCATTGAAATCCATCCCTTTTTCTATCAGAAGAGAAACAATTTCAACACTTCCTCCTCTACAAGCTGAATGTAACACTGTCCATCCTCTATTGTCCCTGATCTCCAGTAACTCTGGGAAATGATTGACCAAATACTCACACATCTCCATTTCACCCAAGCGACAACATTGATGTAAAATTGTTTTACCATCTCCCTGTAGGGAATTGATGTTCATCTTTTTTTCAATCAATAATTTTACTATTTGAACATTTCCTCCACTGGCTGCATCATGTAACACTGTGTTACTAGATTTGTCTTTGACGTCTAACAGATGGGGATAATTGTCAACTAAGTACTGACAAATTTCAAACTCTCCACAGAAACAAGCTGCATGCAGAATACTTTCACCATCATTTGACAAAGCATTGAAATTGATTCCCCTGTTTATAAGAAAAGAAACAATTTTTAAACTTCCTCCACAACAAGCTGAATGTAGCGCTGTATATCCTTCATTATTTACGACGAATATTAAACTTGGATACATATTTACAAGATACCTACACATTTCCTCACTACCCCCAGCACAACAGAAGTGTACCACAGTTTCACCAGTATTTGTTGTACCATTTACATCTAATCCTTTACTTAATAGATACTTAAAAAGATTTACGTTACCTCCTAGAGCTGTGTAATGGAGGACATTGTAACCATTATCGTCACTAACATTCAGTAACTGAGGGTATCTGTTTAATAAATATTTACACATATCATAATGACCATTTTTACATGCGACGTGCAGGATAGATTGACCTGACTTATTTGTTTTATCTACCTTTGGTATATTGTCACTTAGTATTAGTAATATATTTTCATTCTCAAAGATGTCTAACATATAGTCAAACATATCTATTTTTCCACTGAAAGCTGCCCAATGCAAAAGACTTTTTCCATGAACATCAGTGTGTTCCTTGAGTAATGCAGGATATTTATCAACAAGAAATTTGACCATGTTAAGCCTACCATTCTGACAAGCACAAGTAAGAACAGTGTGTCCATTGTCTCGATCTTTTTCATAAGGATCAAATCCAAACTTTAACAGAAAATTGAATGCATGTTTGTCTCCAGAACTTGCTGCAGACTGTAATACATTGGAGCCCTGACTGTCTTTTATATCTACAAGGAATGGATATTTTTCCAAAATTTGTTCAATTAACTGTGTTTGCTGCATAAAACAGATTTCCTGAAGTAAGCTATGTCTTATATTACACCAGACAGGATGCAAGGAAGATGAAATTTGATGAAGATCAACAAGCTCACAAACTCGGAGCAATAACTCTATATTGCCACTTTGTACAGCATTAAAACACGTTTGAAGATCACAATCCACACCTGAAGACAAAATGATATTAACAATGTCGGGTTGATTTTTAGAGCAAGCAGCGTTAATTGATCTGTATCTTTGTCTTTTTTCTGAATTTGGAAGTAAATATTCAACCCACCGCTTATTTCCAACCTTCGAAAAATGCACAACCATTGAATCACCGTTGGTATCAAGACATGTTTTAAACTTCGAAGTGTATTCTTCAGATTGAAATACGTGCTCATGGAAGTGTGAATCATTCCATAGTTCCAGTGATGATATGGAGGAAAATTCAATTACAGACCTTTCTCCAATTATAATTGCAATGCGGCGGGCAACATTTCTAAACAATCTTTGTTCTATGTGAACTTGTGTACATTTGGGGTTTTTACATGTGGTTAATGTAAGAAGTAGGGACGGATGACACATTTGAATCATTTTTTCAGAATCAAAATGAAACAAGACACCAAAAAGGGATTCCTGTATTGAACTATGAGAAAATTTGTATGTATTTTCTATCGTGTCATGAGTTATTAAAAATCCCTCAAAACAAAACACACTGTCTTGGAAATCGTTAACATACGAGTTTTGTAGACCTACAAATTCTAAAGAGTAACGCTTCATCTCTAAATTCAGTCGAGGTTTTTCAATCAATTCGACTTCTACTTTTCCTCCATTCAAAAGAAGATACACTAAAACAGCAGATTTTACAGTTCGTTTTTTCAATAATGTTTTGAAGTAGTCTCTCATAAACGTCATTGCATTTGGTAAAAATGCAATTACGTTTCGTTTAAAGTCTTCATTGCCTTTTGCTAATTTACAACATTGTGGAAAGCCTATAGCTAGTGGCATTTCATATACCGTATGAATAAGTTCTTTGTCTTCTATGTACTCAGAGATCCCATATTTTTCTGATAGCTGCAGGATCTCTTCCTTGAGCAGTGCATTTTCTTTGCCTGATAGGTCAACCAAGGACGACATAAAGAAATCGTCATCACACTCGTTTTGTATGCATTCCTGATATATATCATTTCTTAAAGCAAATATCAATCTGTTAGATTTATTATCAATGTCACTCTCAATTAAGACCTTCATCATATCTGATCTAGCTTTCCATTCTTGAACGTCATCGATGGACAAAGAAAACTCACCAAATAAATTGTCAATAAATACCACAATACCATCACCCCGTGATATGTTACCATACAAATCTGTTAACTTGTAAAGCTGCAGAGGAGATTTTCCCTCATTCATCAATTCTTTCATTAACATCTTGGCGATTGTTGTTTTACCAGTCCCAGGGTTACCCTTGATGACGACATATCCGTTATTGTCCAACAGTTCCTTCGCTCTGTCAAACGCACGGGTTTTCACAAATAGATGGACCATAGCTTCATCATGCTTTGATACCATTAGCTTGGTTGTTTCTAAGAACAGAGAAAAAAGATTATCTTTCGATAACATGAATCACAAAAATACGATTTAATAATTTTCATTTTTAAAAGTTTATGACTGTTTTACTTAAAAATCTACAAAGACATTTGGACCAGTTCTCTGTAAATAAAAATAAATAAATAAAAATCGAAGACGGCTGGCAGCGAAATATCTCAGATTTTCTCCAAATTTGGTATATATTTTCTTCCTACAGTAAAGCATAATATATATATGACCTATTTCTTCTGGACACCCTCAATTGCCATGGTAACCAGAAAACAAACTTTGTGTCTAATTTGTCTGATTCTTGCATGGAAATCTTACTAAAACACACTTTTTTACCTCTTTAGTGTGGAGACAATAAATTTCACAAACTAGCTTAAGATTTTACAATCACTCACTTTTTTGTATTAAAGGGGCACGGTCACAGTTTCAACTATCTTTTTTAAAACCAATTCTAATTTTTACAATTCCTGCTAAAAGGATCATGTAATGATTAGCAAAATTTGAACATCATTTGTTGATTAACAAACAAGATATATATAGAGCATAAGGTAAATAATGCCCGTGCTTTGTTTTTGTTTACATAGGAAAATATCTTATTAATAATAAAATGAAATTCAGTAAATCAATAGTATTTAAAATTAACTTCTTTTTTGAAGTTATCTACTTTGAACAAAGATGAATTTGTGTAGTTACCTATGTAAACAAAAACATGACACAGACATGTTAACATAGCAAAGGTTTTGAGCTCTAAATCTGCCCTGTATCTTGACAACTGGTGTTCAATTTTTTCAACTTTACCTGGAAATCATAATTCAGGTCACTAATTTAAATGTAAATCACTGACAAAATATCGCAGATTTCTGAAAAAAAGTTAGCTTGTTTATTTCATCCTTAAGTTTTACGAAGATATCTGAATAGCTATCTACCATCTGAGAATAACTTTTACCACTAATTTGCACTGAAAGAATATCAATAAAGAACAAAATCACATGAGAAGGTTTTCATAAATAGGAAACTTATTGTATTTTTTATTAAATAAAATTAGAAAACAGGTGAATATTAAATGTGTTCTTTAATTAAGTCGTTAAGGTTTTATAATCATAAAAAAATGTTTACCTAAACTTTTAACAATAAAATGAAACTGAAAGCAATAATTTAATATTATATCATATTTCAAAATTTTCTTACCGATCATTTTTGCAACTCTGGGATCTACAAGAGAGAAAAATAGGTTTTTAAGTCATGTTCCATAATTCAAAACTGTTCTTATCCTTGATAAATTTGATTTAAGAAATTTGGCCCCCGATTTGGTTCTTTCAGATATATTTATCCATGAAAACCTGTTTTCACCCCTGCCACAAAATGAGTGCTGGTTTTAAGATTTAGGATATACAGAGGCCACAGTGAGGTTAGAAAATAGGTCAATTTTCTAAATTTCTCATTTTCATGCAAATTTTCACTAATTTTACAGCATATTTTCTTTCAGAAAACATAGAGCACACGCTCGCCTACCAAATTATATATTTTATACACGGATATCAGATGCAGTATATGTGTAAAAGATAGGCAAGCGTGTGCTCTATGTTTTCCGAAGAGAAATATACCCCAAATATGAAGAAAATCCACCAGAATTGAGAAAAATCGGGAAAATGTCCTATTTCTGTGCCTCTAGTGGCTTCCATGTAGCCTTTGAATCAAAATTGGTGCTTGTCTTAAAGTAAGCATCATTTTAACTTCTTAACTACAAACTATCACAGTTTTACCAGTGTTCTGATTTTTATATAAAAAATTCGGCTGTTACCCCATCTTGTCCTTTGTTTGAAAAGGTTTTGATATATTTGTTGCAAAAACCCTCACATTTCTTACATTATTCAGATTAGTTGTATGAAACATTTTTGTATGAAATTTTATTGATGTTTTATGAACTATTTTAGAACAGCGTCATGACAACATAGGCAACTTCTGTCGACCGAAAATTGACAGGAATCATTCACCCTGCATTCATTGTCATGTTAGAGCAACGAAAAAATCTGGAGAAATTTCAATGATCAAATAATTGTCTAGCAAAGTGTATGAAAAACGGCAGTCAGTATTTGACTTAACGATAGGGTGTATTTGCTGGCAAGTTGAATAAAATGTCAGTTAATTGTTGCGTATTAATATTAAATCGAATACACAGAGGCAATAATAGGGAAACAATGTGGTACATACAATCTAATGTTCTCCATTCTAATGGAATTTTGTGCAAATTTGAGATACTCTTTGTTTGCCTGTCTACAATTTTTTACGCAATAAATTAACTACACTTTTGCATATAAAAAAATATGTGAAAAGATTATGTGTAAAAAGTTGATGGAAATGAAAGCTGGTGGTGTTTTTTTCATATTTTGTGTTGAATCTGTAAATATTGTTTTTTTTATTTACAGAACACACAATATGCGAAAAAGATTTTTGTTGCGAGACACCATTATCCTACCTTGTTTTTTGAAAGTAAAGTAAGCCAAAGACAACAAATTATATCAAAAATCTAAGAATTTTCTCATTGTCAGGCTAACGATAACCTCTCAGAACCGTTAAGCCAATGATAATTTAATTCTTGTTGTTGTTTATTATGCTAATACAGTTTAAAGTTACAAATTGATTAAATTTTGGTATTGTGAGGAAAAAACTATTTTCGTGTTGAAGACTTTTTCAATTAGTTTTTAATTAGTTTTCTCCTGCATAATTTGGTCTAAACAATGCTGCACGGGAAAAAAAATGGTTGCCGGCGTATGCCACAATCTGATTTATCCTCTATCGCACATAAATATAAAAGAAATACCACATAACATAAAACATAAACCTCCAAAACATCAGCAATTGAATCAGGTGCCATCTAAACGCAAAATAATGGACATAAATCGTTATACGAACCACTATGGAGCACTGCTTCTCTTTGAATAGTCTCAATTTTATCTGCAAATAGTAAACAAAATTGTTCACGTTACTTATGAGATTAATTTGGTAATTTTTCATTTTTGTTGACATTTTATTGTCGATTATCTACTACATGAGAGAGTGTATTAAACAGAGTATTTCATAATAAACACTGCATTTATTTTTTTTCCGTACATGTCTTATCTCTGCTAAACTAGCATTCTGAAATGATGTAACTTGAAATTCATTACGTTATGCAAGAGGTTATTGCATATTTACTCGATAGATCATCAACAGTTGTATGAAGTTGTCTGATATCTCCAAGTAAATCGATGTATTTTTTCTCTTGCTCTGGGTCCATGGAACAGGTTTTTATCTTGTTGACGGCATCTTGGTACACTGTCGATGTTCCTAGATGACGCTCTAGCTCCACTACAATGTCCCAGATGTTTCGCCATTCCTGTCTAAATTCTGAATCTGATAGCGACAGATCAGCTGAATGTCCGTAATACTGGTTCCTAATGAGGCGAATCCTTTCAATGTTGGCTGCCACGCTTCTATCTCCAGGATTAGGAATCTCTCCCCAACCTTTGGAATGTGGTGCTATTTTACTTACATTGCGTAGAAGTAAATATAATAAACATACGTCCAAGTCTAAGTAATTACCACTGTATTGTTTAGTTGGTTTTGGAAAAATTATCTCTGATTGTGTTTTGTTAAGGGGGCTTCTTTTTCCACGTTGAAGATTATCTGTGAATTCTTTAACTTTTCTCGACAAATCACATGACTTCACTTCTGTCTTTAGAATGTCACGTAACACATCAGTACACGGACCCAGTATAAGCCTCGCCAGTCGAGCAGTGTTTGTTGTTTCTGGTGTAGTGGTATAACATTTGGATAAAGACATAATGCAGTTGGTATCAATACGTTTAATAAATTTAGTGTTGTTGCACTATCTTTAGTCCACGAAAGCATTACAACCTGAAAAAAATGCAATCTTATAATTTTTTAATGATTGGAATATTAAAACATAACAATATTTTCTAAAGCACATATCTTTATAAATTCAAATTCATTACAGACTGGCATGTAACTATCGATTTCCTGAGTTACTGTGTGATATCTATGTTTACGATGTAATGTCGCAAGTTCTATAAAAATCTTTTAAAATCGTAGGCTGTCAAAGGAATTTAACACACTAATTCCCTATCCTATTTCAATTTTTGTTCCATATTATTTCATTCGTATAGATATGAAATACATGTACTCTATTAAACATTTTAGTTTTACAATAAGTTAAGCTTTGTTAGAATGAAATGGATTTATAAATCCTCCTTTTTAGCTGAGGTCCGTTGACTTTCCATATTGGGTAGAGAAACTCTTTTTGAAAGATTTCTCGCAACACACATGTTTACAAATTGTACTACTAGCTAGTCGAGCTCTGTTAATTGTTTCTGTTGTAAATGTATACATGTAGTATTTTTACAAAACATACTGACCACAAATCGTACTGACTATTGTACGATTCTCTCTTTTGTAAAAACGTTTGTACGTTATGTTTTTTTTTTTTTATTGAGCATTATCAAATGATGTAAAAAGTTTATTTTTTACTATTAAAAGCAAATTTTTAAATTGCTATGTAAGTCAAATAGAGCGACGGGAGAATACTTTTATAAGAGCTATTGTCATATTGTAAAAATTGAATGAACTTTCTTAATCTTGAAACTTGTTCGGATCCTTCCCCTTAAACGGTAAAGATTCTTACAAAACATATGTCAAGCAACAGTTACTATTTTATCCGGCACCACCCATTGCATTGACCTTGTAAAGGTAACCTAATAATTCCTTGTGCGGGGGAGAGTCAGAGCTGACGCCATATTGAAAAGTGGAAATTCAGCAATACCGGCTAGTGTCGCAACTCTGCCTACCTTTGACAACTTTATTTCGTGGAGCTAACACCCGAGACTCGAGAAATCAGTAAAATAATTATTGCTATTTAACTATTCTACTATTTAATCGTCATCAAAAGGATGCTTCCGCCGGTCCTATCATCGACAAATGAAGCATCACTTGAATTAGGTCGGCTCCTTGCCATTCGACTTCTTTGCGTATGACGTCACACAAGAGTTGTATATTTTAAAACAAATTTTATGTATATATATATCTCTTTTACAAAAAAAAAAAAAAACAAAAATGTTTTTACCACGACTGGGATATATATAGAACCAGGGTTGTCGTGATTTGTTGTTCAAGGAGCTCTGCGTTAACCACTTGACCACTGCGGATTACGTTCAGTGTTATTGCAAAGATGTTATGTAATGAATATTTTTTTAATCTGTATACTCTCCAAATAATGCAACTGGGTATAATAGGTTTTTGTGTAATTTCAGCCATTTTCAGGGTAATGAAAATATTGTAACTTGTATTTCACATTATCTCCATTTAGAATATGATATTGGTTTTGAAAGAGAAGTTTTTGAATTAATGTCAAAACTTGGTCATCATTGGTCATTGAGATTATTTTTCTCGTGTGCGCCATTTGTGAATTGTTTTTGAAACAAAGACTCCTGTAGAGAAGAACTTTGTAAGTATTAATGAGAAATGAAGATGCATATAGAGTTACTAAGAGTGTGCATTATGATGTGATATATATTTTAAGATATTATGAAAGTGCATGATTATGAGATTGGATTATATTATAGCAATGTTGCCAAACTTTGCAAGTTAGGTGAAATACCTGAGTAATGCCAATTGTTTTTCTATTATGATTTTATTTTTATTATCAGACTATTAAGATAAGGGTATTGTTTACAGATAGATCAGTCAATTCTACAGTGTCACACTAGTCTGTTTGTCTGTTGAGGACGTTCTGATGTACCAGTGTTTCCCTATCTGGGGTAGGTGTTGATGTCAGACAGTACGGTATCTTTTATGATTTATATTTTATTTTTATGAACCATGAACCTAGCCACTGTTATATTTATGCAAATAGTATGTATTAGTTGTATAATTAGTAAAGGTTCATGAGTTAATGTATGTATCTGTGTATTACTATTTGTAGAACAGTAGATTCAGTAATTACTGTATGTACATGTATTAGTAAAGTGAATTGAGTGTTCAAAATTTGATAAATAGTTCAGATCATGGTATTTATGGAGAATGATAATTTGATTTGGAAATCTTATATTTTTTAAATTTAATTTCTACAACAACTTGTAACTGTGTTTTGTAGATCCATCACCTTTATATCACCTGTATACTTGATTAATAAACGGTCAAGAGAGAATAAAAGAATCCTGTTTCTTACAATGGTGGCAGCGGTGGGATTCTCAGAGGTAGAGATATGGTGATGTGACTGGTGGACCAGGAGACAGACCAGAGCAGCATAATACTGATGTTGAATTCTGTTGTATTCTTCCATTCATATTGATAATCATGATTTAGATTAGCTTACATATAGTGAGTAATTTAGATTGTCACCATTTTGACATTTTCGCACAAACTTTCTATCATATTGATTCATTCAAAATGGAAGTCGAACAAGTCCAGGCTGAAGTGGAAAAATTACAGAAACAATTGTGGGACCTTGCAAGTGCTAAACCTCCTCCACAACCTGTATACATAAGGACTGAGAGAAAATTACCGAAATTCTCTGGAAGACCTGTAAAAGACTCTGATCCAGATGTCGAGGACTGGTTAATGGACATGCGTGAACATTTACAAAGTATTCAATCCAATGAAAAGAAAATTGAATTTATTCTAGATCATCTGGAAGGAGCCGCAAAAAGCGAAGTGAGACTTAGACCAGCAGAGAGTAAGAAAACACCAGACGACATTTTCACGATCATTGAAAGCGTATATCTCGTACAAGAAACTGTTTCGCAATTAAGACAAACTTTCTACGAAAGAGTACAGAAAGAAAATGAAACCATAGAAACGTATTCATTAGCTCTACTGAAGATGGCAACTAGGATCGCTAAGAAAGAAGGAAGTGATATGAAACATTTTGATAAAATTCTAATAGACAAATTCGTTGATGGTGTGCGTGATCCACAGTTAAAACGAGAACTACGAAAGTTTGCATTCGAACATTCCAAAATGCCATTTCTAGAATTCAGAGGACAAATCCTTCAGTGGGTCGATGACAAACCGAATGCAGAAACAGTAGCGAAAGTAAACAAACAGAGCGTCGAGTGTTTGACTTCAAGTCAAGAACTTCTACAGATTCTGAAGAAACAACAGGATCTATTGGAACAACAACAAAAACAAATTGACATTCTAACCAAGATGTCTCAGTCAAATAGAGGAAAGTTTCAAGGATATGGCCGTGGACGAGGCAGAGGAAGAAAATTCGTGGTGACATGTTTTGGATGTGGACAAGAAGGACACAAGAAAAATGAGTGCCCTAACAAGGATTCAAAGGGGAAAACAGAATCAAAGGACCCAAAAGGCAAACACTCACAGTAGAGAGTCATACTGATGAGTGGCAATGTAATCACACCGACTCAAAAACTGTGAATAAACTTCAGAATGCAAATAATGTATTTTCAAAATGTCCAAAAGCAAAAGTGAATCTCAACGGGATTGAAATGACTTTTCTTCTTGATACTGGATCAGAAGTGTCGACCATTCCGGAGACTGTATATGAGAAACATTTTTCATCAGTGAAAATCAATGACACCACGCAACTTCTGAAATTGGTAGCAGCCAACAATACTGACATTCCTTATTTAGGATATATCGAACTTGATCTTGAAGTTTGTGGCGTTAAATTTCACAATGTTGGATTTCTAGTCTCCAGAGACATTAGTTCTAAACCAATCGAAGGAATTCTTGGCTGTAACATATTGAAATACATTACAAATGAAATATGTGACACTGATGATACTAATTTCCCCGATAAGGAAAATTGGAACCGAGTGAAAACAGTTTTTGAAATGGACAGTAAGTGTGATCGTATAGCTTTTGTGAAGGTCGCAGGGAAGGATGATGTACGTATACCTGCTTACTCGATGAAAGTCGTTATTGGGTCAACACGGCACAACAAGAAAGGAGAAGAATACGAAGCAGCAGTTCAAGCTATTCAGGGATCGACAGGAGCCTTACCTAGAAATATTTCTGTAATAGATACTCTAAGTAATGTGTGCATGGGAAAAGTGTTTGTGCGCATTGTCAATATGGGAAGTGAAGATGTCTGGCTGAAAGCCAAGAGCAGAATTGGAACATTACACAGCGTAGATTCTTTGAGGTCAACAAGTGACAACTATGATATAGAATTCACCGACAAGGAAGTGGTAATTCGCAAAATGACTGTAGAAAAATGTGAACAGAATGTGAAATCTGATATCAAGCTGAACATTGGTGATGTAAACTTTACTGAAGACCAAAGGAAAATGTTTGACGCTCTATTGAAGAAACATTCCGACTCTTTCTGTAAAGATGATCTTGATTTAGGACAAACTTCATTGATCAAACATTCCATCAAATTGAATGACGAAGTTCCTATCCGTGTACCACACCGAAGGATACCACCTAATCAATTGGAAGAAGTTAAACAACATATACGTAAACTTCTAGACCAAGGAATCATCAGAAAAAGCACAAGTCCTTTTGCATCAGCTATCGTAATTGTACGCAAAAAGGATGGAAGTATTAGACTATGTGTCGATTATCGACAACTGAATAAGAAGACCATTAAGGATGCATATCCGCTTCCAAGAATCGAAGAGACTCTGGACCTGTTACACGGCGCCAAATACTTCAGTTCTATTGACTTAGCTCAAGGGTATCACCAAGTGGAGATGGACACAGAATCAATTCAGAAAACAGCATTCAGAGTGGGCACTGGAGGGTTATATGAGTATCTACGAATGCCTTTCGGACTATGTAACGCTCCAGCGACATTCC